GCCGCAAGCGCCGGACCCCGAGCACTCTCAAGCGCGCGCGCTGCTTCTGCAAAAAGTTGAGGGCTCTCTCTCAACTAGTTATCAGGGTGTCATATGGGTGACATCACTCCCAGGACCAGCCAATGGCTGGGGCCCGGCTCCGCCCATCTCCCTTTATGAATTCTGCGGCCCCGCCCCCCTCGCCCCGCCCTCGGGGCTGCTTTGCAAAGATGGGGGCGGGGTGGGAGGAGGCATGTCTAGAAATATGTTATTTTTAAAAACTCCGCGTGTGTGCACAGATGCGTCTCTCCCCAGGATGCTCGGGAGCGGCTCACGGCATCGTGGTGAGCCGGCTGGCCTGAGGCGAACCGGGCTAGTCCGGGCGCCGGCGCGACCGAAGACCAGCTCCCGGGAGAGGCCCAATGCCCCTTTGTGCCCAGTTCCCCGGAGACCCGACGGTATGAGCAGAACGGGCGCCCTCAGTCCCCCTGTGCACACGCTTGGGCACGCGCACGGCCCCATACGGCGGGTGCAGCTCGGCTCTGGAGTCCGCCACGCCCGGCGAGCCCTGGGGTGGCCGCAGCTGCTCCCCGGCGTGTCCCCCGCGCCGCCGCCCGGATCCCACCCGTTCCGCCCGCCGCGCCCCTGGGCGACGGAAGGTGGCGCTTTAACACAACAACCTTGTCCGGGCACGTGGGCTCTTTTCTTCGTTTCCCTTTCTGCCTTTTTCTAGAGGCAAAGAAATCAATTTAAAGCCCGAGAGGCTGTATCCTTCCCCCAACCCCCCGTGTGCATTTTTCTGTTTTGTCCTTTTTCTCCGTCCGATCTCCCTCCGTGCTCGCGTTTGGAGACGTCGCCATGCGCGTTTGCAGGCGCCGCGCCCCCGCGCGCCCCGCCCGGCGGAGGCTGGAGTAACGGTCTGCGGGGTTCGGGTTGTGCTGGGTCCTCCCTTTCAATCTGGCCACTCCCGAGGCTGCTCGTGAAGCGCGTCCTGGGACCAGAGGCAGCAGCCTCCCCCTCCCCCGCAAGCGTCACTAGTGAAGGATCCAGCTCTTTCTCCCCCTCCTTTCTCCTCTCCCGCTTCCTCCCCAGCCCTCTCCCCGGCTCCTTTTTCCCTTCCCAGGTCCCCTCTTCCTCTCCGTCCCTGCCCCCTTCCGCGGCCACCAGCGCCCTCGCCAGCAGCCTCGTCCTGAAATCTCGCCATAGCGAGCTAGCGCGCCTTCTGGGTCACACGCTATTTTAGCTGCACAACAGACACCAAAGAGAAAATAAGGTGCGTTCGGGTTTCGAGTCGAAATGTTTCCCATGTACGTAGAGAGGTGGGGTGGCCTCCCGTGAGACACACGGAGCAGGCTGGATTATGTAAAGCCACCACACGCCCCGTCGATCCTTCTGTGCTACGAGACCCGTTTTCTTTGTGTTTCTCTACTTAGTCCCTGTTCCCCATCGATGGATATTCTGGGGACAATTAAAAGAAAACTGCCGCTGCTTCTGGGTTGCCCGTCGCCGCCCTGGTCTTGCCCACACCCTGGGCTCTGGGCAGCTGGCAACTTCCAGCAGTTCCTGAGACACTGTCCGGAGTCGTCCCCAGGAGGAGTCAGCTGCTGGGGACTAGCGAAATTATCTAAACTCGCTTCCTTTCAGGTGCCGGCAAATAACACGACATTCCCTAAGTATTACATTTTTTCTGAGAACTTTGGTAACATAAAATGGTACCCCGTTTTCACAGATCATTATGTTGGGGGGGGGAATCACCACCGTCAATGTTGCCCATCCCTTCCCACCATATTCATCCCAAAGAAAAATACTGCATCAAACACTTGTAAAATCCAGGCCAATTTAAATCTTGATAATGCTGGCAATTTATTTTTCTAGGGCCATCGGAGCCAAAAGAATTTACGGTCATTCGTACTGGGTGACGTGAAGTCTGGAGACGTATAAAACACCAGGCAGTGTGAGAAAATCCGTCTTCACTCCCTCAGAGCAAGCACTGCGGCTTGTTTTTCTCTGACCTCAACACGTTTCCCAGCTCTCGAGAACATCACGGGAGGGTGCGGTGGGGTGGAGCAAACGGTGGATCTGCACCCGTCTCCCCCCCGGCCCCTCACAGGTCACATCCAGGGTAGATAGAGGGTTCGCAACATTTTAGCTCCGTTGCATTATTTGCATGCAAAAGATGGGGACACTAACCATTTTAGACTCTGAAAGAGAATGCATTTGAAAATCTTTGGCAAATTTCGTATGTATTTGCCGACATCACTCTATAGCAAAAACTGTGCTTAGCTTTGGAATGACAGTGGTAAGAGTATATAGTGGGCCTGAAAAATAATGGTGTTTATTCTCCTAGCGCTCTGATCTTTTGAGAGGAAAGATAAGTTAAAATGTACTCTTTCAAATGAGAAACAATTTCTGTTCAAATAAAGATGGGCCATTTGTTGGAGAAGATAAAGCGTGTATAAGAGGTTGCTTTTAGTGTGAGAATACAGGGGTGGGCAATGAATGAGGTGGCCGGGTGAATCTTTGAGCAAACACTGCAGAGACTGGAGGTGATAAAGCGGGACTAAGACAGGCCAGGTAAGACAATTTTCACAGAAGATTAACTAGATTGCTATTTTGTAACGTGACTCATCCCACATATTTAATGCTATAGGACTTAGTAAGGACTGGGAGTGAGGAAAAGAAAAGTAACTAACTAATCTCTCTCTCTCTCTCTCTCTCTCTCTCTCTCTCTCTCTCTCTCTCTCTCATCCTCTCCAAGAGAAATTTTAAAATAGATACAATATTTGTAAAAAAAACAAATGGGAGAATGTTAGAGACCCTGCATGCTTCTTGCAGGAACAGTATGTATTTACTCCTGAAAAACAGACATTTGCAACGTCAGCAGTAACCAACTATTTAAAGGAATTTTGGGCTAAAAAAAAAAAAACAGAAAATGAGGCCTTCTTTAACAAAGCACCTCTCGAAAGTCTAAATTAGTAAAATGGAAATGGATCTGCTATTTTTTAAACCACAAGATGTATATCAGCATTAGGGCTCATTGGTCATCTTTGTAAAGCTGAGATACACTTCATTTCTGTGTGTTATTCCATCTTTGTACTTATTTATAAGGAGGATACGCAGTTTTCCTATTAATGATAAATTTTATTGGATGCATAATTAGCGTTCAGAGTCTAAAGAGTCACATTTGATTAGAGCCACAAATGAATGCATTTTAATGGTTATTATTATATTTATACAATTGCATTCCCCCCCCCCCAAAAAAAAGAACAAAAAGCTTACTGCACTTATAAGGACTATCACATAAATAGGTAAGATATCCTACAAAATCTCTCAAAATTAGAACACAATAAGAATGTGTATGAAATGGTGCTTTTTCCTCTGAAGAATATCACCGGGTAAGTCTGACTCATTTGATTGGACACCATTTTTAGAAGCATCGCAATTACATGTGTTTCCCCATTCCTGACACTAAGCCCTGCAGTAAGACTCCTTTTTCTTCTCTGTTTACCTGTGTTCCCCAAATGAGGCCCTCCACTCCTCTACGGGCTGCTGCGTCTGGATATCTCCGCTTTAGACCTTGGTCTTGAGTTTGGATCTGAATATTGCCCCTGCATTAGACATTCCCCTTAAATGCCCCTCGGAGGTGGTAATGAGTATAAATTGAACTCACCCTACCATCAGAACTCTCTCTCTCTCTCTCTGTCTCTCTCTCTCTCTCTCTCACACACGCACACACACACACACACCCTAATGAGTGTCATCTAACTGTTTGGTTAATCAGAACACACTTGACTAGCTAAAAATCCTGTTGATTTTTTCACTCATTTATTCTCTGTGTCAACTCACTAGAAAGTGTGACCCATTCCAGTGAC